ATGACCATGTAAAGAAAGGATGGTCTCCTCAACAATCAGCAGAAAGGTAAACTGATGAAATGAGAAGAAGTATCTGCAAACTTTGTATCTGCATAATGGGCCAATACTCAGAATATATAGCAACTACTACAGCTCAACTTCAAAACAACAACAGGCAAATAACCGACTTAAAAAAAATAAAAGATGTGTAAAAGGCTTCAATAGATATTTCTTCATAGAAGACAGAGAAGTGACCAATATTCATAGGCATAGTGCTCAACATCACTAAGTATCAGTGAAATAGAAACCAAGTCAAAAGGAGATATCACCTTTCAGGCTGTGTATTATAAAAAGAAAATAATGTTAAGAGAACGATCATAAGATCCAGGAATCACTCTTTTGAGTTTATGTCCAAAGAAGATAAAATGAGAATATCCAGGAGATATCTACAATCATGTATCCATTGCTGTATTGTACACAAAATCCAAGAAAACTGCCCAGTGTCCACGGGCAGATAAATCAAAAAGAAAATGTGGTGTATACATACACTGCAAGGTGTTTCAGCATTTTAAAATGAAGGACATCTTGTCATTTGCAGCACCGTGAATGAAGCTCGAGGATATTGGTAAGAGTGAAATAAGGAGGTCAAAGGAGGACAAATACTGCACAATTCCATTTACCTGATGTATCTGAAGGAAAATTCAGAGAAGCAGAGAGTAGAAGGGTGGTTCCAAGAACTGGGAGGAGGTTGACAGAGGGAGTGTCTGTTCAATGGTTATAAAATTTTTGTTGCAGGATGGAAAAGTTCTAGAGACAAGCTGAAAAACACAGGGCATTGAATTAACAGGCCTGACTGGACACTTCAAAGCTTAAGAGGCAAAGCTGGACTGAACTTCATCTATGCTTTTAGGTTCCTTTTTTCTCAGATTCCTCTAGACCTAGGTGTGGCATGTGGGTACCACCAGGGGCTCCCTGCAGAAGGAAAGAGCCTCCCCAGTACTGGGGGCCTTGATTGAGGGGGTGAGATTCATTCTGAGGCTGTAATAGGAAAGAGTTTGAATGAGGGAAACGGCGGAGTGATGAATCATGACCAAACAAAATGCTACAAGACCTATTAAGAAATGGGATTTATGATTAAATGAAGGGGTGACGGACCCAGGAGGGAGATACTGAAACATGGTCTTGTTTTCTAAGAATCATACAGGGCTTCACTGGTGCATCAATGGGTAAGAATCCACATGCCAATGCAGGAGATACGAGCTCAATCCCTGGTCTGGAAAGAGTCCACATGCCTCGCAGAACCTAAACCTGCTGGTGCACCACAAGGACTGAACCGTGTTCTAGAGTCCAGGAGGCACAAGCACAGAGCCCAGCTTCTGAAACTACTGAAGCCCAAGAGCCCTAGAAGCCACACTCTGCAACAAAAGAAGCACTAAAGTGATACGCCTGCACACCGCAACGCGAGAGATGCCCTCACTCTCCACAAGCAGAGGGAACCCTGCGCAGCAATGACGACCCAGCAGAGCCAAGAGAAAAATTAAGAAAAGTTAAAAAGACTCCAGGGTGAACATTTTCCTGGGTAGGGACGGGATGTGTCTTTCAGGGTAATGGATGTTCACTTGGTATAAAATCAATGGATACAGTGAATGTGTATACTTGGCTTAATTTTATATATACACACACACACACACACACACACACACACACATATATACTCATTAATGGCTCATGGTGATGGGAAATTTTCGGGGGAAGTTGACACCAGTAACAGTGACATTTAGGGTGACAAATATTGAGGAAAACACAAGACAAAAACATTCACAGACACATGAAGAATCACACTGTTCATTACACACAGATATACACCCAATCCCATGGACAAAAACCCACACTATTAACCATAACACAGCTTCTTCCTGGGACTACAGTAATCAGCCACATTGCTCTACTTATAAATTACTTTCTATCATGAGGGCCCCTATACTCATTGCCCCCATGAATTTTGAATCAGTTTGGCCTCTACACTAAAACCAGAGAGAAAGCCCCAACTTTCTCATCTACAAATTTTTCTCCTAAAATGAATGATTCTAGAATACATACGACTTTCACATTCTGAAAGAGCTACCTGCAAGTACAGAAGAGAAGACACTATGAGGATAAGATCACATAGATGCACAGTCTTTGGTTCATTTGGTGACAGTTCCTGATGAGGAACAGTGGTGAAGTCCACGGAACCCATCACTATCAGAACACACATACTCAGGATGAAAGGCAAGACCTTTGCCTGGAGGATGGAACTTCCAAGTTCATTTGGATTGGAAATTGCAGAATTCTTTTCTTAGAGGAAATCTTGCTGCAGGAGAGAGAACTCTGTACTCTACAGGGTGTAATGGATGCTAACAATTTTAATATCCTGTGGACTGAGGCATCATGATTTGGTAATAAGTATATCACTTCACATTATCCCAACCAAGGAAATCGCCTCTGTCTGAAAGGAACACCTTCAAAGATGCACAACTTAATTGTACTTAAAAAGAAAGGAAACAATATTTCTATTTCAGACCAGAAAAAAGGAAAAAAATCTTTCCTTGGAGGCACATGGAGTCTCCTCTGTCTTGTCACAAGCTGGGTTGACTGGCAGGTCCTCAGTGAAACCTAGAGGGACACAGAGTAGCTGTTAGAACAGCGGTGAGGCTGCTCAGGAATCATGCAGGGGGTTTTCTCTTTGTGTGGACATGGGGTGGTGTGTATGGATGTGGGAGGTTAATAAGCATGGACTGAACTTGTGTTCATCCATCCTCTCTGGAGGAGGAAGGAAAGTAAAGGAGAGGTGGAAGGAAATGAATGCAGATCGTTGGCCTTCTAGCTAGAGGAGCCTAATCAACAGGAAATATTCAACCTAAAACATGGAAAACTCTAAAATGTAAGTACTGTTCAGTGAGAGAGACCATGACTGCTCCTGCTCATTGTGAGCTTCGGGTAAATTGCCACTGTCTCTTGATTTTTCCCAGATCACTCTTCCTCTGAGATCCACAGTTGCTGCTACTCTGTTCATCATGACTTCTATAAGGTTTTGTAATTGATTTAAAGTAAACTCGGTTACAGGACTGAATTCAATCCTGGCAAAGTATACTATGCTATTAATTCACTAATTAATTGTCTTAAAGAAAAGCAAATACACAAGATTTTATATTTCTGAATTCCTAGCACTTAAAAATAGCCATTATGAATAATACAGAATTTATCTATCAATATTCATTTTCTATAAAGTGTGTGAATTTCCACTGATCCAGTAGTTGTCCATATGCACAGGGGCCATCGGTTGAGTGGGACAGTAGATTATAGAAAGCACAGTTCCTCCACAACGTATTCCTCAGGAGTTACAGGGACAGAGTAGCTGTTAGGACACTGGTGAGGCTATTCAACAATCACTCAGCTTTTACTCTTTTTTGAGATGGACAAGGGGTGTAGAGTATGCATGAGGGAGCTAACTAAATATGTAATAAGCTGCTGATGAATCATCCTTTTTGCTAGATGAAGGAGTAAAAATGAGAGGAGCATGAAAGAAATGAAAGAGAACATCGGCATTTTTGGAAAACAAGAAACACTAAAATGCATGCCATCTTTCGATGACAGAGACTCAGGAAGCTCCTGTGTGTTTATATCTTCTGCAAAACAACACCTATCCAGAAGGACATCTTCCTACATCACTGCCTCCCCAGGATTCAGTTACAGCTATTGCACTTACTGAGTTTTCTGAGGGACTTTGTTCTTGATGAAAAGCAGTCTCTACTACAGGACAGAATTCAATTCTAACTTGCCAAATAGCTATTAAGCTAGAACGACTCAGGTAACGTTTCTTGCCAGTCTTAATTGTCCAAACAACATTTGCGTGTCCCTGAATGAGTGTCTGCTGACACTCAGAGAAGCCATACATTGAGTGGGACAGTTCACTATGGAGAGAAAGCCTGGGGCAAACGTTGACTTTCTTGGACTCAGGTATGCACGAGGTTTACTAGAGGCAAGACACCAAGCAGACTGTCAAGTTCCACCATGAGATCTATTTGACACCTGCCCTTGAGAGTGTGCTGCAGGGTTGAACTGACCTAAGGCTTATGGTGTTGTCACCCAGTACAATTAAATATCTCCCTGATGGTAATCTGCTTTTGTCCTTGGTTAAGCAATGAAACTAGCACGAACACACTTGGCCTGTCCTGTCTAAACCAGGGCATACAACTCCCAGTTCTGTGAACTGACTAGGAGGATGTCAGTCCCTAGGGCCCTTTGACGATAATGACTGTGCCAAAGTTGGTAATAATCTGCTTATATTTGCCCTGGGTTCCTTGACCACTGAGACCGTCTTGCAATGATGTACACGGTCTGGATCTCTGGAGCTCTAGTACCTCCAGGCAAAAGCACAGATGCAGCCAGCCCTTGCCCCATGACTAGGCTTTCAACGCTGAGTGATAAGTGAAGGTCAGGGGTCCAGAGCAGTCACAGTGGGAACACACCTAGGTTCTCAGTTTGGCTTTTCAACATAGAATTGTCAACAGCTTGGGCCATTGTCCTCAGCACCTTCTTCACTTGAGGAAAATGAATATTAACCAAACATGAGGAATGGCTGAGCTGAGGAAAGAATCAAGTAATGTATAGTCAGTGGGCAGTGGTGATAAGAAGTGTTTAGAAAGTTCACAGGTGACTTGTGCTGTGTAGGAGGAAAACATCTCCTGAGGAAACACACACAGACACAGAACATCAGAATCACACCACTGGGCCCACACATGGGCCCCCAATCCCGATTCACACAAACACACAGCATCTAAATGATTTAGTTGCTTCCAGGTACCATAGAATAAAGACATTATTCTATCCTGGGAGATCAGTCTCTTCCATGCACCTCCAGCCCGCACCCCAAGTAGGGATCCAGCATCAGGGCCACTCTCCAACCAGAGCCAGTCAGAAAACCCCAGCTTTATCAGATGGATTGTACCTCAGCAGAGTGTTGATCCCTGAATATTTACCGTGTTCACTTGCGTCCCAGAATTCCTGTGATTGGAGAGAAGGAAACAGAGTGAGGTGTCAGCATCTTCAACCTCCTGCACTAAGGATTCTGTCATGTGGTTTGTCTCCTCAGATAACTAAAACTCTTTATTCCAGTGACTCCAAAGTACAACAGAGAGTGTCCTGGCGGAAAGTCTGTTTCACAAAAGATCTCTCAATTTCAATGTGTCCAACTATAACACACTGCTTTTCAAGAAAGAGAACTTTCAAAAAAAAAAAAGAAAACATTAAAAACAAGAAAGAGAACTTTATGCTGAGCAAAGTACCTACAGTAGTAAATGATGCTGTCTTTTTTTAATGTCCTTGTGAATTAGGTCTGTGTTGATAATAGAATTATCCTCACTCTTTTCCCAGCCAAGGAATTACATGCCTCAGTGGGAATGCAAATTGTCACATGACTATAACTGTATTTGTCTGAATAACAAATAAAGTGAAGCAACAATCTTATCACAGATAAAGAAAGGTGCAGTTACATTCACAGTACACAGTGCCTTTACCTCAGTCAAGTCGTGGCATGTTGCCTCTTCCAGATCCGCCTGGGGAGCTAGAGGGACAAGGAAGAGACATTGGTGAACAGGAGAAGCTGGTCACTAACCACTCAGGAATCTTTCTTGGGGGGCGGGGGCATGGGGTGGACTGTATGCTTAAGGCATTAGTAACTTGGGACTGAGTGGCTGTTGAATCATCCTCTTTGTTGCATAAATAAGAGCAAATTGGAGGAGCAGGAAATAGTGAAAGAGAACATCTGCATTTTAACTAGTGATTACCTCACAGATTGGAAAATAAGAAACACTAAAATGCATGCCACCTTTCAATGACAGAGAGTCAGGAACCTTCTGCGTGTTTATATCTTCTGCAAAACAACACCTATCCAGAAGGATTTCTTCCTAGATCACTGCCTCCTCAGGATTCAGTTACAGCTATTGCACTTACTGAGTTTTCTGAGAGCCTTTGTTCTTGATGAAAAGGAGTCTCCTCTAGAGGACTGAATTCAATTCTAACTTGCCAAATAGCTATTAAGCTAGAACCACTCAGGTAATGTTTCTTGCCAGTCTTAATTGTCCAACCAACATTAGCGCGTCCCTGAATGAGTGTCTGCTGACACTCAGAGAAGCCATACATTGAGTGGGACAGTTCACTATGGAGAGAAAGCCTGGGGCAAACGCTGACTTCCTTGGACTCAGGTATGCACGAAGTTTACTAGAGTCGAGTCACCAAGCAGACTGTCAAGTTCCACCAGGAGATCTACTTGACACCTTCCCTTGAGAGTGTGCTGCAGGGCTGAACCGACCTAAGGCTTATGGTGTTGTCACCCAGTACAATGAAATATCTCCCTGATGGTAATCTGCTTTTGTCCTTGGTTAAGCAATGACACTAGCACGAACAGATTTGGCCTGTCCTGTCTAAACCAGGGCATACAACTCCCAGTTCTGTGAACTGACTAGGAGGATGTCAGTCCCTAGGTGCCTTTGACAGCAATGACTGTGCTAAAGTTCGTGATAATCTGCTTATATTTGCCCTGGGTTCGTTGACCACTGAGACCACCTTGCAATGATGCACACGGTCTGGATCTCTGGAGCTCTAGTACCTCCAGGCAAAAGCACAGATGCAGCCAGCCCTTACCCCATGACTAGGCTTTCAACGCTGAGTGATAAGTGAAAGTCAGGGGTCCAGAGCAGTCACAGTGGGAACACACCTAGGTTCTCAGTTTGCCTTTTCAACATAGAATTGTCAACAGCTTGGGCCATTGTCCTCAGCACCTTCTTCACTTGAGGAAAATGAATATTAACCAAACGTGAGGAATGGCTGAGCTGAGGAAAGAATCAAGTAATGTATAGTCAGTGGGAAGTGGTGATAAGAAGTGTTTAGAAAGTTCACAGGTGACTTGTGCTGTGTAGGAGGAAAACATCTCCTGAGGAAACACACACAGACACAGAGCATCAGAATCACACCACTGGGCCCACACATGGGCCCCCATGCCCGATTCACACAAACCCACAGCATCTAAATGATGTAGTTGCTTCCAGGTACCATAGAATAAAGACATTATTCTATCCTGGGAGATCAGTCTCTTCCATGCACCTCCAGCCCGCACCCCAAGTAGGGATACAGCATCAGGGCCACTCTCCAACCAGAGCCAGTCAGAAAACCCCAGCTTTATCAGATGGATTGTACCTCAGCAGAGTGTTGATCCCTGAATATTTACCGTGTTCACTTGCGTCCCAGAATTCCTGTGATTGGAGAGAAGGAAACAGAGTGAAGTGTCAGCATCTTCAACCTCCTGCACTAAGTATTCTGTCATGTGGTTTGTCTCCTCAGATAACTAAAACTCTTTATTCCAGTGACTCCAAAGTACAACAGAGAGTGTCCTGGCGGAAAGTCTGTTTCACAAAAGATCTCTCAATTTCAATGTGTCCAACTATAACACCCTGCTTTTCAAGAAAGAGAACTTTCAAAAAAAAAAAAACAGAAAACATTAAAAACAAGAAAGAGAACTTTATGCTGAACAAAGTACCTACAGTAGTAAACGATGCTGTCTTTTTTTAATGTCCTTGTGAAATAGGTCTGTGTTGATAATAGATTTATCCTCACTCTTTTCCCAGCCAAGGAATTACATGCCTCAGTGGGAATGCAAATTATCAGATGACTATAACTGTATTTGTCTGAATAACAAATAAAGTGAAGCAACAATCTTATCACAGATAAAGAAAGGTGCAGTTACATTCACAGTACTCAGAGTCTTTACCTCAGTCAAGTCGTGGCATGTTGCCTCTTCCAAAACCTCCTGGGGAGCTAGAGGGACAAGGAAGAGACATTGGTGAACAGGAGAAGCTGGTCACTAACCACTCAGGAAGCTTTCTTGGGGGGCGGGGGCATGGGGTGGACTGTATGCTTAAGGCATTAGTAACTTGGGATTGAGTGGCTGCTGAATCATCCTCTCTGTTGCATAAATAAGAGCAAATTGGAGGAGCAGGAAATAATGTAAGAGAACCTCTCCATTTTAACTAGTGATAACCTCAGAGATCAGAAAATAAGAAACACTAAAATGCATGCCACCTTTCAATGACAGAGACTCATGAACCTCCTGCATGTTTACATCTTCTGCAAAACAACACCTATCCAGAAGGATTTCTTCCTAGATCACTGCCTCCCCAGGATTCAGTTACAGCCATTGCACTTACTGAGTTTTCAGAGAGATTTTGTTCTTGATGAAAAGCAGTCTCTGCTAGAGGACTGAATTCAATTCTAACTTGCCAAAGAGATATTAGGCTAGAATCACTCAGGTAATGTTTCCTGCCAGTCTTAAATGTCCAACCAACATTTGCGCGTCCCTGAATGAGTGTCTGCTGACACTCAGAGAAGCCATACATTGAGTGGGACAGTTCACGATGGAGAGGAAGCACGGGGTAAACGCTGAATTTTTTGGACTCAGGTATGCACGAGGTTTCCCAGAGTCGAGTCACTAAGCAGACTGTCAAGTTCCACCATGAGATCTATTTGACACCTGCCCTTGAGAGTGTGCTGCAGGGTTGAACCGAACTAAGGCTTATGGTGTTGTCACCCAGTACAATGAAATATCTCCCTGATGGTAATCTGCTTTTGTCCTTGGTTAAGCAATGACACTAGCACGAACAGATTTGGCCTGTCCTGTCTAAACCAGGGCATACAACTCCCAGTTCTGTGAACCGACCAGGAGGGTGTCAGTCCCTAGGTGCCTTTGACGATAATGACTGTGCCAAAGTTGGTGATAATCTGCTTATGTTTGCCCTGGGTTCCTTGACCACTGAGACCGTCTTGCAATGATGTACATGGTCTGGATCTCTGGAGCTCTAGTACCTCCAGGCAAAAGCACAGATGCAGCCAGCCCTTGCCCCATGACCAGGGTTTCAACGCTGAGTGATAAGTGAAGGTCAGGGGTCCAGAGCAGTCACACTGGGAACACCCCTAGGTTCTCAGTTTGGCTTTTCAACATAGAATTGTCAACAGCTTGGGCCATTGTCCTCAGCACCTTCTTCAATTGAGGAAAATGAATATTAACCAAACATGAGGAATGGCTGAGCTGAGGAATGAATCAAGTAATGTATAGTCAGTGTGCAGTGGTCATAAGAAGTGTTCAGAAAGTTCACAGGTGACTTGTGCTGTGTAAGAGGGAAACATCTCCTGAGGAAACACACACAGACACAGAGCATCAGAATCACACCACTGGGCCCACACATGGGCCCCCAATCCCGATTCACACAATCCCACAGCATCTAAATGATGTAGTTGCTTCCAGGTACCATAGAATAAAGACATTATTCTATCCTGGGAGATCAGTCTCTTCCATGCACCTCCAGCCCGCACCCCAAGTAGGGATCCAGCATCAGGGCCACTCTCCAACCAGAGCCAGTCAGAAAACCCCAGCTTTATCAGATGGATTGTACCTCAGCAGAGTGTTGATCCCTGAATATTTACCGTGTTCACTCGCATCCCCGAATTCCTGTGACTGGAGAGAAGGAAACAGAGTGAGGTGTCAGCATCTTCAATCTCTTGCACTAAGTATTCTGTCATGTGGTTTGTCTCCTCAGATAACTAAAACTCTTTATTCCAGTGACTCCAAAGTACAACAGAGAGTGTCCTGGCGGAAAGTCTGTTTCACAAAAGATCTCTCAATTTCAATGTGTCCAACAATAACACATTGCTTTTCAAGAAATTGAACTTTGAAAGAAAAACAGAAAACATTAAAAACAAGAAAGAGAACTTTATGCTGACCAAAGTACCTACAGTAGTAAATGATGCTTTTTTTAATGTCCTTGTGAAATAGGTCTGTGTTGATAATAGATTTATCCTCACTCTTTTCCCAGCCAAGGAATTACATGCCTCAGTGGGAATGTAAATTATCAGATGACTATAACTGTATTTGTCTGAATAACAAATAAAGTGAAGCAACAATCTTATCACAGATAAAGAAAGGTGCAGTTACATTCACAGTACTCAGAGCCTTTACCTCAGTCAAGTCGTGGAATGTTGCCTCTTCCAGATTCTCCCAGGGAGCTAGAGGGACAAGGAAGAGACATTGGCGCACAGGAGAAGCTGCTCATCAATCACTCAGGAAACTTTCTTGGGGGGCGGGGGCATGGGCTGGACTGTATGGTAAAGGAATTAGTAACTGGGGACTGAGAGCCTGTTGAATCATCCTCTTTGTTGCATAAATAAGAGCACATCGGTGGAGCAGGAGATAGTGAAAGAGAACCTCTGCATTTTAACTAGTTATAACCTAACAGATCGGAAAAAAATTAAAAGGAAAATGCATGCCACCTTTCAATGACAGAGACTCAGGAACCTCCTGCGTGTTTACATCTTCTGCAAAACAACACCTATCCAGAAGGATTTCTTCCTAGATCACTGCCTCCCCAGGATTCAGTTATAGCTATTGCACTTACTGAGTTTCCTGAGAGACTTTGTTCTTGATGAAAAGCAGTCTCTGCTAGAGGAGAGAATTCAATTCTAACTTGCCAAATAGCTATTAAGCTAGGACCACTCAGGTAACGTTTCTTGCCAGTCTTAATTGTCCAACCAATATTTGCGCGTCCCTGAATGAGTGTCTGCTGACACTCAGAGAAGCCATACATTGAGTGGGACAGTTCACTATGGAGAAGAAGCATGGGGTAAACGTTGAATTTCCTGGACTCAGGTATGTACGAGGTTTACTAGAGTCGAGTCAACAAGCAGACTGTCAAGTTCAACCATGAGATCTATTTGACACCTTCCCTTGAGAGTGTGCTGCAGGGTTGAACCGACCTAAGGCTTATGGTGTTGTAACCCAGTATAATGAAATACCTCCCTGATGGTAATCTGCTTTTGTCCTTGGTTAAGCAGTGACACTAGCACGAACAGATTAGGCCTGTCCTGTCTAAACCAGGGCATACAACTCCCAGTTCTGTGAACTGACCAGGAGGTTGTCAGTCCCTAGGTGCTTTGACAATAATGACTGTGCCAAAGTTGGTGATAATCTCCTTATGTTTGCCCTGGGTTCCTTGACCACTGAGACCATCTTGCAATGATGTACACGGTCTGGATCTCTGGAGCTCTAGAACCTCCAGGCAAAAGCACAGATGCAGGGAGCCCTTGCCCCATGTCTAGGATTTCAACGCTGAGTGATAAGTGAAGGTCAGGGGTCCAGAGCAGTCACACTAGGAACACGCCTAGGTTCTCAGTTTGGCTTTTCAACATAGAATTGTCAACAGCTTGGGCCATTGTATTCAGCACCTTCTTCACTTGAGGAAAATGAATATTAACCAAACATGAGGAATGGCTGAGTTGAGGAAAGAATCAAGTAATGTATAGTCAGTGGGCAGTGGTGATAAGAAGTGTTTAGAAAGATCACAGGTGACTTGTGCTTTGTAGGAGGAAAACATCTCCTGAGGAAACACACACAGACACAGAGCATCAGAATCACACCACTGGGCCCACACATGGGCCCCCAAGCCCTATTCACACAAACCCACAGCATCTAAATGATGTAGTTGCTTCCAGGTACCATAGAATAAAGACATTATTCTATCCTGGGAGATCAGTCTCTTCCATGCACCTCCAGCCCGCACCCCAAGTAGGGATCCAGCATCAGGGCCACTCTCCAACCAGAGCCAGTCAGAAAACCCCAGCTTTATCAGATGGATTGTACCTCAGCAGAGTGTTGATCCCTGAATATTTACCGTGTTCACTTGCATCCCAGAATTCCTGTGATTGGAGAGAAGGAAACAGAGTGAAGTGTCAGCACCTTCAACCTCCTGCACTAAGTATTCTGTCATGTGGTTTGTCTCCTCAGATAACTAAAACTCTTTATTCCAGTGACTCCAAAGTACAACAGAGAGTGTCCTGGCGGAAAGTCTGTTTCACAAAAGATCTCTCAATTTCAATGTGTCCAACAATAACACATTGCTTTTCAAGAAAGAGAATTTTGAAAGAAAAACAGAAAACATTCAAAAAAAGAAAGAGAACTTTATGCTGACCAAAGTACCTACAGTAGTAAATGATGCTGTCTTTTTTTAATGTCCTTGTGAAATAGGTCTGTGTTGATAATAGATTTCTCCTCACTCTTTTCCCAGCCAAGGAATTACATGCCTCAGTGGGAATGCAAATTGTCAGATGACTATAACTGTATTTGTCTGAATAACAAATAAAGTGAAGCAACAATCTTATCACAGATAAAGAAAGGTGCAGGTACACTCACAGAACTCAGAGCCTTTACCTCGGTCAAGTCGTGGCATGTTTCCTCTTCCAGATCCGCCTGGGGAGCTAGAGGGACAAGGAAGAGACATTGGTGAACAGGAGAAGCTGGTCACTAACCACTCAGGAATCTTTCTTGGGGGGCGGGGGCATGGGGTGGACTGTATGCTTAAGGCATTAGTAACTTGGGACTGAGTGGCTGTTGAATCATCCTCTTTGTTGCATAAATAAGAGCAAATTGGAGGAGCAGGAAATAGTGAAAGAGAACCTCTGCATTTTAACTAGTGATTACCTCACAGATCGGAAAATAAGAAACACTAAAATGCATGCAACCTTTCAATGAAAGAGACTCATGAACCTCCTGCATGTTTACGTATTCTGCAAAACAACACTTATCCAGAGGATTTCTTCCTAGATCACTGCCTCCCCAGGATTCAGTTACAGCCATTGCACTTACTGAGTTTTCGGAGAGATTTTGTTCTTGATGAAAAGCAGTCTCTGCTAGAGGACTGAATTCAATTCTAACTTGCCAGAGAGCTATTAGGCTAGAATCAATCAGGTAATGTTTCTTGCCAGTCTTAATTGTCAAACCAACATTTGCGCGTCCCTGAATGAGTCTCTCCTGACACTCAGAGAAGCCATACATTGAGTGGGACAGTTCACGATGGAGAGAAAGCCTGGGGCAAACGTTGACTTTCTTGGACTCAGGTATGCACGAGGTTTACTAGAGTTAAGTCACCAAACAGACTGTCAAGCTCCACCATGAGATCTATTTGACACCTGCCCTTGAGAGTGTGCTGTAGGCTTGAACTGACCTAAGGCTTATGGTGTTGTCACCCAGTACAATGAAATATCTCCCTGATGGTAATCTGCTTTTCTCCTTGGTTAAGCAATGACACTAGCAGGAACAGATTTGGCCTGTCCTGTCTAAACCAGGGCATACAACTCCCAGTTCTGTGAACTGACCAGGAGGATGTCAGTCCCTAGGTGCCTTTGACGATAATGACTGTGCCAAAGTTGGTGATAATCTGCTTATATTTGCCCTGGGTTCCTTGACCACTGAGACCGTCTTGCGATGATGTACACGGTCTGGATCTCTGGAGCTCTAGTACCTCCAGGCAAAAGCACAGATGCAGCCAGACCTTGCCCCATGACCAGGATTTCAACGCTGAGTGATAAGTGAAGGTCAGGGGTCCAGAGCAGTCACACTGGGAACACCCCTAGGTTCTCAGTTTGGCTTTTCAACATAGAATTGTCAACAGCTTGGGCCATTGTATTCAGCACCTTCTTCAATTGAGGAAAATGAATATTAACCAAACATGAGGAATGGCTGAGCTGAGGAATGAATCAAGTAATGTATAGTCAGTGTGCAGTGGTGATAGGAAGTGTTTAGAAAGTTCACAGGTGACTTGTGCTGTGTAAGAGGGAAACATCTCCTGAGGAAACACACACAGACACAGAGCATCAGAATCACACCACTCGGCCCACTCATGGGCCCCCAAGCCCGATTCACACAAACCCACAGCATCTAAATGATGTAGCTGCTTCCAGGTACCATAGAATAAAGATATTATTCTATCCTGGGAGATCAGTCTCTTCCATGCACCTCCAGCCCGCACCCCAAATAGGGATCCAGAATCAGCACCACTCTCCAACCAGAGCCAGTCAGAAAACCCCAGCTTTATCCGATGGATTGTACCTCAGCAGAGTGTTGACCCCTGAATATTTACCATGTTCACTCGCATCCCCGAATTCCTGTGACTGGAGAGAAGGAAACAGAGTGAGGTTTCAGCATCTTCAACCTCCTGCACTAAGTATTCTGTCATGTGGTTTGTCTCCTCAGATAACTAAAACTCTTTTTTCCAATGACTTCAAAGTAAAACAGAGAGTGTACTGGCGGAAAGTCTGTTTCACAAAAGATCTCTCAATTTCAATGTGTCCAACAATAACAAATTGCTTTTCAAGAAATTGAACTTTGAAAGAAAAACAGAAAACATTTAAAAAAAGAAAGAGAACTTTATGCTGACCAAAGTACCTACAGTAGTAAATGATGCTGTCTTTTTTTAATGTCCTTGTGAAATAGGTCTGTGTTGATAATAGATTTATCCTCACACTTTTCCCAGCCAAGGAATTACATGCCTCAGGGGGAATGTAAATTGTCAGATGACTATAACTGTATTTGTCTGAATAAGAAATAAAGTGAAGCAACAATCTTATCACAGATAAAGAAAGGTGCAGGTACACTCACAGTACTCAGAGCCTTTACCTCGGTCAAGTCGTGGCATGTTTCCTCTTCCAGATCCTCCCGGGGAGCTAGAGGGACAAGGAAGAGATATTGGTGAACAGGAGAAGCTGGTCACTAACCACTCAGGAAGCTTTCTTGGGGGGCGGGGGCATGGGGTGGACTCTATGCTTAAGGCATTAGTAACTTGGGATTGAGTGGCTGTTGAATCATCCTCTCTGTTGCATAAATAAGAGCAAATTGGAGGAGCAGGAAATAATGTAAGAGAACCTCTCCATTTTAACTAGTGATAACCTCAGAGATCAGAAAATAAACACTAAAATGCATGCCACCTTTCAATGACAGAGACTCATGAACCTCCTGCATGTTTACATCTTCTGCAAAACAACACCTATCCAGAAGGATTTCTTCCTAGATCACTGCCTCCCCAGGATTCAGTTACAGCCATTGCACTTACTGAGTTTTCAGAGAGATTTTGTTCTTGATGAAAAGCAGTCTCTGCTAGAGGACTGAATTCAATTCTAACTTGCCAAAGAGATATTAGGCTAGAATCACTCAGGTAATGTTTCCTGCCAGTCTTAAATGTCCAACCAACATTTGCGCGTCCCTGAATGAGTGTCTGCTGACACTCAGAGAAGCCATACATTGAGTGGGACAGTTCACGATGGAGAGGAAGCACGGGGTAAACGCTGAATTTTTTGGACTCAGGTATGCACGAGGTTTACCAGAGTCGAGTCACTAAGCAGACTGTCAAGTTCCACCATGAGATCTATTTGACACCTGCCCTTGAGAGTGTGCTGCAGGGTTGAACCGAACTAAGGCTTATGGTGTTGTCACCCAGTACAATGAAATATCTCCCTGATGGTAATCTGCTTTTGTCCTTGGTTAAGCAATGACACTAGCACGAACAGATTTGGCCTGTCCTGTCTAAACCAGGGCATACAACTCCCAGTTCTGTGAACCGACCAGGAGGGTGTCAGTCCCTAGGTGCCTTTGACGATAATGACTGTGCCAAAGTTGGTGATAATCTGCTTATGTTTGCCCTGGGTTCCTTGACCACTGAGACCGTCTTGCAATGATGTACATGGTCTGGATCTCTGGAGCTCTAGTACCTCCAGGCAAAAGCACAGATGCAGCCAGCCCTTGCCCCATGACCAGGGTTTCAACGCTGAGTGATAAGTGAAGGTCAGGGGTCCAGAGCAGTCACACTGGGAACACCCCTAGGTTCTCAGTTTGGCTTTTCAACATAGAATTGTCAACAGCTTGGGCCATTGTCCTCAGCACCTTCTTCAATTGAGGAAAATGAATATTAACCAAACATGAGGAATGGCTGAGCTGAGGAATGAATCAAGTAATGTATAGTCAGTGTGCAGTGGTCATAAGAAGTGTTCAGAAAGTTCACAGGTGACTTGTGCTGTGTAAGAGGGAAACATCTCCTGAGGAAACACACACAGACACAGAGCATCAGAATCACACCACTGGGCCCACACATGGGCCCCCAATCCCGATTCACACAATCCCACAGCATCTAAATGATGTAGTTGCTTCCAGGTACCATAGAATAAAGACATTATTCTATCCTGGGAGATCAGTCTCTTCCATGCACCTCCAGCCCGCACCCCAAGTAGGGATCCAGCATCAGGGCCACTCTCCAACCAGAGCCAGTCAGAAAACCCCAGCTTTATCCGATGGATTGTACCTCAGCAGAGTGTTGATCCCTGAATATTTACCGTGTTCACTCGCGTCCCCGAATTCCTGTGACTGGAGAGAAGGAAACAGAGTGAGGTGTCAGCATCTTCAACCTCCTGCACTAAGTATTCTGTCATGTGGTTTGTCTCCTCAGATAACTAAAACTCTTTATTCCAGTGACTCCAAAGTACAACAGAGAGTGTCCTGGCGGAAAGTCTGTTTCACAAAAGATCTCTCCATTTCAATGTGTCCAGCAATAACACATTGCTTTTCAAGAAAGAGAACTTTGAAAGAAAAACAGAAAACATTTAAAAAAAGAAAGAGAACTTTATGCTGAGCAAAGTACCTACAGTAGTAAATGATGCTGTCTTTTTTTAATGTCCTTGTGAAATAGGTCTGTGTTGATAATAGATTTATCCGCACTCTTTTCCCAGCCAAGGAATTACAGGCCTCAGGGGGAATGTAAATTGTCAGATGACTATCACTGTATTTGTCTGAATAACAAATAAAGTGAAGCAACAATCTTATCACAGATAAAGAAAGGTGCAGGTACACTCACAGTACTCAGAGCCTTTACCTCGGTCAAGTCGTGGCATGTTTCCTCTTCCAGATCCGCCTGGGGAGCTAGAGGGACAAGGAAGAGACATTGGTGAACTGGAGAAGCTGGTCACTAACCACTCAGGAATCTTTCTTGGGGGGCGGGGGCATGGGGTGGACTGTATGCTTAAGGCGTTAGTAACTTGGGACTGAGTGGCTGTTGAATCATCCTCTTTGTTGCATAAATAAGAGCAAATTGGAGAAGCAGGAAATAGTGAAAGAGAACCTCTGCATTTTAACTAGTGATTACCTCACAGATCGGAAAATAGGAAACACTAAAATGCATGCCACCTTTCAATGACAGAGACTCATGAACCTCCTGCATGCTTACGTCTTCTGCAAAACAACACCTATCCAGAAGGATTTCTTCCTAGATCACTGCCTCCCCAGGATTCAGTTACAGCCATTGCACTTACTGAGTTTTCGGAGAGATTTTGTTCTTGATGAAAAGCAGTCTCTGCTAGAGGACTGAATTCAATTCTAACTTGCCAGAGAGCTATTAGGCTAGAATCACTCAGGTAATGTTTCTTGCCAGTCTTACTTGTCCAACCAACATTTGCGCGTCCCTGAATGAGTGTCTGCTGACACTCAGAGAAGCCATACATTGAGTGGGACAGTTCACGATGGAGAGAAAGCCTGGGGCAAACGTTGACTTTCTTGGACTCAGGTATGTACGAGGTTTACTAGAGTTAAGTCACCAAACAGACTGTCAAGCTCCACCATGAGATTTATTTGACACCTGCCCTTGAGAGTGTGCTGTAGGCTTGAACTGACCTAAGGCTTATGGTGTTGTCACCCAGTACAATGAAATATCTCCCTGATGGTAATCTGCTTTTCTCCTTGGTTAAGCAATGACACTAGCACGAACAGATTTGGCCTGTCCTGTCTAAACCAGGGCATACAACTCCCAGTTCTGTGAACTGACCAGGAGGATGTCAGTCCCTAGGTGCCTTTGACGATAATGACTGTGCCAAGGTTGGTGATAATCTGCTTATGTTTGCCCTGGGTTCCTTGACCACTGAGACCGTCTTGCGATGATGTACACCGTCTGGATCTCTGGAGCTCTAGTACCTCCAGGCAAAAGCACAGATGCAGCCAGCCCTTGCCCCATGACCAGGATTTCAACGCTGAGTGATAAGTGAAGGTCAGGGGTCCAGAGCAGTCACACTGGGAACACGCCTAGGTTCTCAGTTTGGCTTTTCAACATAGAATTGTCAACAGCTTGGGCCATTGTCCTCAGCACCTTCTTCAATTGAGGAAAATGAATATTAACCAAACATGAGGAATGGCTGAGCTGAGGAAAGAATCAAGTAATGTATAGTCAGTGTGCAGTGGTGATAAGAAGTGTTTAGAAAGTTCACAGGTGACTTGTGCTGTGTAAGAGGGAAACATCTCCTGAGGAAACACACACAGACACAGAGCATCAGAATCACACCACTCGGCCCACACATGGGCCCCCAAGCCCGATTCACACAAACCCACAGCATCTAAATGATGCAGCTGCTTCCAGGTACCATAGAATAAAGATATTATTCTATCCTGGGAGATCAGTCTCTTCCATGCACCTCCAGCCCGCACCCCAAGTAGGGATCCAGCCTCAGCGCCACTCTCCAACCAGAGCCAGTCAGAAAACCCCAGCTTTATCCGATGGATTGTACCTCAGCAGAGTGTTGATCCCTGAATATTTACCGTGTTCACTGGCGTCCACGAATTCCTGTGACTGGAGAGAAGGAAACAGAGTGAGGTGTCAGCATCTTCAACCTCCTGCACTAAGTATTCTGTCATGTGGTTTGTCTCCTCAGATAACTAAAACTCTTTTTTCCAGTGACTCCAAAGTAAAACAGAGAGTGTACTGGCGGAAAGTCTGTTTCACAAAAGATCTCTCAATTTCAATGTGTCCAACAATAACAAATTGCTTTTCAAGAAATTGAACTTTGAAAGAAAAACAGAAAACATTAAAAACAAGAAAGAGAACTTTATGCTGACCAAAGTACCTACAGTAGCAAATGATGCTTTTTTTAATGTCCTTGTGAAATAGGTCTGTGTTGATAATAGATTTATCCGCACTCTTTTCCCAGCCAAGGAATTACAGGCCTCAGTGGGAATGTAAATTGTCAGATGACTATAACTTTATTTGTCTGAATAATTAATAAAGTGAAGCAACAATCTTATCACAGATAAAGAAAGGTGCAGGTACACTTACAGTACTCAGAGCCTTTACCTCGGTCAAGTCGTGGCATATTTCCTCTTCCAGATCCGCCTGGGGAGCTAGAGGGACAAGGAAGAGACATTGGTGAACAGGAGAAGCTGGTCACTAACCACTCAGGAAGCTTTCTTGGGGGGCGGGGGCATGGGGTGGACTGTATGCTTAAGGCATTAGTAACTTGGGACTGAGTGGCTGTTGAATCATCCTCTTTGTTGCATAAATAAGAGCAAATTGGAGGAGCAGGAAATAGTGAAAGAGAACCTCTGCATTTTAACTAGTGATTACCTCACAGATCGGAAAATAGGAAACACTAAAATTCATGCCACCTTTCAATGACAGAGACTCATGAACCTCCTGCATGCTTACATCTTCTGCAAAACAACACCTATCCAGAAGGATTTCTTCCTAGATCACTGCCTCCCCAGGATTCAGTTACAGCCATTGCACTTACTGAGTTTTCGGAGAGATTTTGTTCTTGATGAAAAGCAGTCTCTGCTAGAGGACTGAATTCAATTCTAACTTGCCAAAGAGATATTAGGCTAGAATCACTCAGGTAATGTTTCTTGCCAGTCTTAATTGTCCAACCAACATTTGCGCGTCCCTGAATGAGTGTCTGCTGACACTCAGAGAAGCCATACATTGAGTGGGACAGTTCACTATGGAGAGGACGCCTGGGGCAAACGCTGACTTTCTTGGACTCAGGTATGCAGGAGGTTTACTAGAGTCGAGTCACCAAGCAGACTGTCAAGTTCCACCATGAGATCTATTTGACACCTGCCCTTGAGAGTGTGCTGTAGGCTTGAACCGACCTAAGGCTTATGGTGTTGTCACCCAGTACAATTAAATATCTCCCTTATAGTAATCTGCTTTTGTCCTTGGTTAAGCAATGACACTAGCACGAACAGATTTGGCCTGTCCTGTCTAAACCAGGGCATACAACTCCCAGTTCTGTGAACTGACCAGGAGGGTGTCAGTCCGTAGGTGCCTTTGACGATAATGACTGTGCCAAAGTTGGTGATAATCTGCTTATATTTGCCCTGGGTTCCTTGACCACTGAGAGCATCTTGCAATGATGTACACGGTCTGGATCTCTGGAGATCTAGTACCTCCAGGCAAAAGCATAGATGCAGCGAGCCCTTGCTCCATGACCAGGATTTCAACGCTGAGTGATAAGTGAAGGTCCGGGGTCCAGAGCAGTCACACTGGGAACACCCCTAGGTTCTCAGTTTGGCTTTTCAACATAGAATTGTCAACAGCTTGGGCCATTGTCCTCAGCACCTTCTTCACTTGAGGAAAATGAATATTAACCAAACATGAGGAATCGCTGAGCTGAGGAAAGAATCAAGTAATGTATAGTCAGTGTGCAGTGGTGATAAGAAGTGTTTAGAACGTTCACAGGTGACTTGTGCTGTGTAAGAGGGAAACATCTCCTGAGGAAACACACACAGACACAGAGCATCGGAATCACACCACTGGGCCCACACATGGGCCCCCAAGCCCGATTCACACAAACCCACAGCATCTAAATGATGTAGTTGCTTCCAGGTACCATAGAATAAAGACATTATTCTATCCTGGGAGATCAGTCTCTTCCATGCACCTCCAGCCCGCACCCCAAGTGGGGATCCAGCATCAGGGCCACTCTCCAACCAGAGCCAGTCAGAAAACCCCAGCTTTATCCGATGGATTGTTCCTCAGCAGAGTGTTGATCCCTGAATATTTACCGTGTTTAATGGCGTCCCAGAATTGCTGTGAGTGGAGAGAAGGAAACAGAGTGAGGTGTTAGCATCTTGAAGCTCCTGCACTATGTTTTCTGTCATGTGGTTTGTCTCCTCAGATAAATAAAAATATAAATATTTATTTATAAATAAATAAAATAAAACTCTTTATTCTAGTGACTCCAAAGTACAATAGAGAGTGTTCTGACGGAAAGTTGGTTTCAGAAAAGAGCTCTCAATTTGAATGTGACCAAGAGTTACAAAAGTATTTTTCAAGGAGGAAAATTTCTACTGAAAAAAATACGTACAGTAGTAACTGATGCTGTCTTTTTTTAATGCCCTTCTGAATCGCATCTGTTTTTAGAAAACATTTTTCTCAATATTTCTCCAGCCAAGGAACTGTATACATTAGTGATAATGTACATTGTCAAATTACTATAACTGCATTCCATTGAATAAAAATTTAAGAAGTGAAGAAGCAGGCTTCTCTGAGATAAAGACAGTTGTGGTTACCTTCGGGATCCTCGGAGACTCTTCCTCATCCCAGGCCC